CTACAGTTCTCAAGTATGAGAGGCTTCAGCGTCCTCTTCCCACTCAGGGCAGCCAATGTGAAAATACACTTTTATTTTCTTGTATACGTACGTATATACGGAGTAATGTACGTAGAATAGAGAAAGTTATGTAATGCTACGGAAAATTGATTTCGAGATTTCAACGTAAATACGGGGTCCCCTGATACGGAAAATCTTTTTAACGTTCGTCCGTCTGTCTGTCTGTCCGTCCGACTATCCGTGAATACTAGCGCCTAACCCACACGTAGGATTTTTCACAAAATAAATATTCACATAATATGTATTATTATGTGTATGTATTCTAAATATATACTCCATATATATTCTTCCCGACTTCAACCCATTAACTACCAAATTAATTTTGTGCCGGAGTTGCCAGATGTGTTGCGAGCTATTTCCTCACCAGTACTACGAACTTTTCCCAAATAACCTCTCTAGTGAAGCAAAATTCCCCAACTTTGAAAGGAAAAATATTCTCCAAATTATGGAATAACGGCATGAGCTGTCCCTGACGATTCCATTGGCTGTCCCCTCAAATTCAAATAATTCATATCAACAAATCATCATCCTTTAAGCTGCTCGAAATCCTATACCTTCGCTTTTCTCACGTTTTTTCTTTCACTATGCCTATTGTTTATTTTTCTCTTTTTGATACATAAAATGAGAGATAATAATACCTGTTTTCATTTTTATTCATAATAATTCAGAGAGTAGTATTTCTATCTCGACTGAAAGAAAATTATTTCCCCAATCATTGCCATGTCCATTTGTTCCCCATTCTTTCCTCACAACGAAAAAAATCCTCACTTGGTGGAAAAGTCCACAATCTGACAACCCTGTTTTGTAGGCATAGTGCTCGCCCATTGTTGTAGCATTAGTGCGCCAAAAGTAATTATTGGTGCTCTCTGGCAGCCTGTGTTCGTAACTTTTAGTGCTAACCAATTGTTGTGTTGCTAAATAACACTAGGGCGCTCCAAGGCGCAAACCATTGGTTGTAGTCCAGTCGGAATATTTTTGACCCATTTTATCTGGAAGAAGTTCACAAAAACTTTTTCTTTGGGTTTGTAGTATGTATCCAAGCACTAGATAAAACACACTTTTTCGACCTCTCAGACCCTGTGCTAATTCTAGGAGGACCGGAAAACCGGTATTTTTCTGACTTGTTTCGTTGTTTTCTCTATAGCTATTTAACCTTAAGCTCTGTAGATAAATGATTCAAACACATTTTAAAGAAGATAAAATTTCCTACAACTTTTATATACAACAAATATTATTTCGAAACCGATTACCAACCGAGCTACGGCTTTCAAAAAAAAAAAAAAAAAAAAAAAAAAAAAAAAAAAAAAAAAAAAAAAAAAAAAAAAAACTTTTTTTACTTCTTAAAATGACTGCAAACATACACGATTGTGATATTATAATTATCCTATAATAAATATTATTATTATTACGTGTAATATATTATTTATCTCCCTGGGTGTAAACACAGTCTCGTAAATGTACCTATTACCGAAAATATTAACAAAAAAAGGATACGTACGTGTTCGGGTTCTAGTTTAACTCTTCAACGCGATACAATATCAAACAAAAACCTTGTATACATTCAAATTAATTTTAAGAAAAAGTTAAGCGAAAACTTGTGTTTAAAAAAAACAACTATACATGATCTTTTTTAAACAGCTTATTTTTGGAAGTCTTGTCTAAGGCAAAAACATATTTCTTCAACATTTGTAGTTTTGGAATGTTAACTTTTAGCAATTTTCGAATAAAGGAGAGATTATAATAATAATAATAATATATATAATAATAATAATAATAATAATAATAATAGTAAAGAAGAAGAAGAAGAAAGAAGAAGACGAAGAAAATAAAAGAGAGAAGAGAAGAAGAAGAAGAAGAAGAAGAGAAGAAAGAAGAAGAGAAGAAGAAGAAGAGAAGAGAGAAGAATACGACGACGAAGAAGAAGAAGAATATTTATTTGGGATATTTTGGCTGATCGCAAGGTGTAACCACTAAGCAATTACAATATATCACATTTACAATTCGAAGACATGGCAGTATTAAAACATTTACAATAAAATATATTTTTTAATTACAACTACAACTACTATAATACATATAAATAAACATACAAATACATATATCATTACATATACTCACACAATCATATACATGAATGCTCAGTCACACATACACGTAAACCCAAACACACACTTGTTCTACATAGTGTACATGCTACGTACAATATACATAAACAAACATACATTTAGACCAGAAACATAGATATCATGCAATTATGTTGATCCACATTCACTTAGACAAACATAATTTGTTCTTTTAATCAGAATAACATGTGGTTTTAAAGCTAACTCTTTAAACATCCTTATTTTATCCCCACCCACTCTCACTTCCCCGAAATTGGGATTAGGAAACATTTTTTTACCGTTCCTTGGTACGGTACGAGGAGACAATTTAAAGAAAAAATTGAAGACCTCACAAATCAAAATATCCCTTTGAAACTCCCAAAGTCTCGAGTTCGTTCAGATCTCAGGACGAGGAGAATGTCCATTTTGGAGTGAATCGTCTGAACGGTTCAGGCACTAACGTTGGCCATAGACGTTTAGACAGACGTTTTGTGGTCAATCGACTTATCAGTATCAAGGACTCACAAACCATGGATTCAATACCACATGTCTACGTTACACGTCTACAACGCTAATAATACACATAATATTACAATGGACGGATAGACAGGCGTTTTGCCATAAACCAATTTTCAGATATCATTAACTCATAAAATGTGGATTCTGATTGATCACTCTTTAGAAGAAGCAATTTACAACATATAGAGTCTTGTTTGTAGTAATTTGTTTTCGGTATCAAGAGATATCCAATTTGAGATTTTTCTCTCGAAAATTGTCACTTTTCGCTGCAGCATTACAAGATTTCTCTTTACTATGTACGTTCATAGTAGAGAGAACAGGCCCGGACTTCAAGAACTAGAGCTCCTAGGCAATCCAAAATCTAGGGCCTTTACTTTTTAATAATTGAATAAAAATGACAAATAGGGAGAGGTATTCGCACGTCTTAAGAGATAACGCAATCCCTGAGATCGAATCTGTTCTTCATTACATCAACATTGATGTTGCTGCAAGTGACCAGATCCCATCGTATTCCGCGCAGGCAAGTCTAAACATCTGCCTGAAGCAATATAATTATAATTTGTTTTAAAATTTAACTTGTTTATAATTAATACTCCAGTAGAAGAATTATTTTAAAATCGGAAATAAATAAATATATTCAAAAAAGTGTATAACTGAGAAACGATTAAAAGCTATTTCTTATGAACTAAACGCATTTTTGTTTGAAAATTTATTTGGGCTCCTCTGGGTATGGTTGCCAAGTGTCCACTATTTGAGCGGACAGTCCGCTTTCATCACTTTATGTTCACTTTTGTTTTTACAAAATAGTGAACATTATTAAAACTCAAAAACTTGATGATGAAATGGTACGTAATCTAAAGCTGTACAGTCTAAGAGAATAAGGATAGGAGAATGGCATTTTGTCTTTTTTTTCATAAGTTTGAATGAGACAAAGATCGAATATCCATTAAATTCGATTCTCGAAAATTACTTATCTTCTGACCTTCATTGAGTACTAGCCTCACTATGCAGAGCGCGAATTTGTCAAACCAAAGATTTCGTTGAAGCATTATAAACATAAAAGTTAATCATTGTTTTATGTATATACTATTTAGCGGTGTTCTAATAAAATCACCATGGAAGTAATAGTAGGTTAAACTTTAGTAATAGACATCAGTTCTCAGTATAAAACACACCCATAGATTCAGTGAATGTAGCAAATTCTACAAATTCGTGAATTCTCTGTTAAATTTGAATTAAATCTAAATAAGTAAATAATTTCATAATTTAATTGTAATTTTTTTTTAAATTACTACTTAACCTCCCCCCCCCCCACACACACACACACACGGTTCTCAACCATGTTTTGTAAGCAGACCTGTCAACCCTACCCCTCAGAGTTTCGACCGTTAGGCAGCTGCCCAGTTTGCTTAGACGGAAGTCCAGAGAGTTTATTTCTTGTGCAAGAAAGTGAAAACTATTTTTTAATACAGATATTATGTTGCATCCTCTTCACCCTTTCAGCAGCTACTGCAAGTGGCCTAACAGCTTTTAATTCAACGAGAAATCAATTGAGTTAAGCACGCGCGGATTCAGAGACTTATTTTGGGAGGGGAGATTTTTTAAATTCAAAATGTGTTGGTCGATTATGTCATATTACAGATTGTATAGAACGAAGGCTAAACTCAGCTCAGTTGCGATAAAATTTTATTCGTATTAATGTTTATACAAAAATATTTTGTTTGAAAGTTTCGTGACAAATTAAAATTAATAGTTGCTGAAAAATTTCCGGAGGGGAAGTTTCCCTCATTTTCCTTCCCGTGGATCCGCGCCTGAGTTAAGTAAAATTCCGTTTTGTAAACGAATGTTTTCTCGATATGTCATACAGAATGTTCAATAAAAATAAATAAATATTTGAATTTAAAATAGTTCCAGTCGCTTTAAGTCGCTATCTTGGGTTGTAGCCATAGACTTAAGACATTAAATGAAAGTGAATGTAGTCAGCATCTAAATACAATCAATTTCAGGACTTTAAATAACAGAAGATTCGAATTAAGGAGTAATTCTTTTGCCAACTGCAGATGTCTGTCATTACAAACGATTCGGTAATGATATGAACGTTTCTGTAGACATGTAGTGCACACATCAAAATTATATTCTGGATATTGTACAAAGAAATAATTGTGAGTGAAATACTTATCTTACATAAAAGTGACATCCTTGATCGCCCAAGTGAATTTCCCGCCATTCGCGCGCGGGTTGTGTTTTTTTCGCCGTGCTTTAAAAGGCTTTGGACGTTGTAGTCAATGCCTCTCTAAGCTCAATAAATGGCTGCGCCTAGGAGAAGCAGAACAGCTGACAACCTAGTAGGATGTATGTAATGCTGATCTTGCGTGTGAGAGTGTGAAGTTTAACGATTTAATACTCGTCCGAATTCACATCCTTTCTACACGATACGATTTGCTGAAATGATCGATATGTTGGTGCTGTGTTTCTTGTGTAAGAAAAGTATCTTTAAAAGTAATTCAGATTGTTGACATAGTTTCATGATTAAGTTCAAGGTATTTTTATTTTTATTAATGATTCAAAACCTGGAATAACTGTTGAATTGTAAGGGCAAACTATAGTGAAGTAGAGAGTGTGCCTGTCTTATAAGTTACAGATACTGTCATGGTGTTTTAAGTGCATTATTCCAAATAAAGAGACCAATACTACCTATTCTGTGGTACATGACCTATCCCATTTGTGAAGATCATGAACAGAGAACTTTCCTTACAATGCAATAATATAGTGCAGTTAATGCAATTAAGACAAACAAAGGTGAGTTGGGTTCTGCTTTTACAATAAAGTATATTTTTTCTTATTGTGAAGTGCATTGGTATACTGGGAATAATGAACATGTGTGTATTTACATATGCATGTATGTACTATATGTGTTTATAATATAAGGTGTGTGTGTTTTATTTCAATTTTGGGAAGTAATTGTATTGTAAATTATGTCAATCTTTTATGGATTTCCACTAGTTGAGAAATATTTTATTCTTTTCAATTTTGGTGAACTTATTTGTTTTTCATTTGTATAGAATTCTGTGAATCACAGTATCCAGAGGCAGTTACATGTTACAGAAGATTTTGTGAACAGATTAGGTCTTGAGAAGGAGTTAGAGGGACACAATGGATGTGTCAACTGTTTGGAATGGAATGAGTCTGGGAAGTAAGGATATTGCTTGTTATTATTTTCTTACTATTAACCAAACTTCTTCATATTGATAATATGATATTGTAATTTAATTTAAATTCATTAATATATATGAGATGGTCATTACATTTACTGTTTATCACTTTGCAACTGAAAGATTTGTAATTATGTATTCTTCATTGCTTTTTTCATAAACTTACTGGTATAGCATTAACATCAACATTTCATTCAGATTTCCCCCACAAGTTGAGGTCAGCAAATGTTTTCTAAGAGATAATCGCGCAATTTTGTTGAGTGAATTCCGATGTCCTTGTTGTTGAAGCCTTCTTCTAACACATCTAACAAGCAGTGGCGAATCCACCCCCTTCCAAAGCCATCATTTGTTTTGTAATTTCACTCAGTTAATTGAAAAAAATTGTCATGTGTTGATCACATCACATCCAAAGGAGTACTCTCTTTTTGAATATATATATTCTTATTTCAAGCATGTTAAATAAAAAAACAAAATTCATATTTGAAATTTATTTTTGATCTGCAGCAAGTGGCGGGGTGTGTTTTTCTCTTTTATTATTGATTTTAGAAATTCATTAAATTTTGCTGGAAAAATTGATTTTTATGACAAAAAATTAAATGGATGGTTCTTTTTGGGGAAGAGGTTTTATTTAGTGATTTGTCAGATTTAGGAGGAAAAGTGTGTTAGAAATCATATGTGGAGGTATGGAACACTTGCACAAAAACAATCATTACAGCAGAGAGTAATGAACATTCATAACCCACTTGAGTGAACCTTCTAACTTTGAAGTATGCTCTTTCTCAGCTCGAAATGATCAAGTTATTTAAGTGAACATTTTATAGGATACTTGCTTCTGCCTCGGATGATGTACAAGTCATCTTATGGGATCCTTTCTTACATAAGGAAATGCACACGGTTCAAACAGGACATCATGGAAACATCTTTTCTGTTAAGGTAATTTTATGATTAACATTTGAATTCAGTATGAAGTATTAATGGATAATCACACTTTTTAAAGTATCATAAAAATCTTGATGAATGAAGAGATTTTTTTGTGAAGTTGGTTTTCAATGAAACAAATAGACCAATTACAGGAGTATTTTTGATTATAAGTGTAAAATCATTTCTGGTAACAATGTTAAAGAGCTGGTAAATTATTACTTCTGCTTTAATAAGTAATTAACATGTATTATTGCTGTCTTTCCATTTGTTTTAGTTTATTCCAAAAAAGGATGTTGGCATGAACACTTAATGTTTCTGTAAAATCTGTATCAGTTTTTGTAAACTTAAAAACAATATATTTCGCCATTCTGTAATGACATTAAATTACAAAAACGAGGAAATGATTTCAGTTGTTAGTTAGTCAGTTTTTATTTAGTGTTGTTAACATTTGGTAGCAGGTGATCACACTAAATAATGATATGTTTGGATATCTGAAAATAAATAAAATTATTTTTCAAGAATTGAGGGATTGACAGCTTTGAATTAAATTGGAACAGTGCAACCTAAATGCTGATATTGTAGACAGGATTACCTCTTATCTTTAGCTCTTTCTAATTTCTTTTGTCAAAGGTTTATTGATAAATGATATTAAATGTAAATTTTGGCCAAATCATTGCTCTTTGAAATTCTCAAAACATAATCACAAATTGAAGAACCTTGTTCCTGAGGAAATAATATCAAGTTTGTTGTTTCTATTCTGTTTTCCCTTATACATTGCTTTCTATATGCTCTTAGAGATCAAATAATTTTAAAAAATCTGTTTGTAATTAACTTCCAATAATTGGACAAAATGCAAGTTTTTACTTCAGACAGCTCATCTCCCCAAGTTGATATATTTTGATAATTCTTTTTACTTTCTCGCGTTTAAGAAGGAATTTCGTCAGAAGAGAAAGTTAAGCTGCGCGAAAAAACGCGAATTTTCACCAGAAAATCTTTTATTAAAATGCCCTGATAATGAAAAAAGTTGATAAATACATACGCTAAATTTAGGAAAAAATCCTCTAACACATGGTATACCCAGGATCCCTGTTTTGTGGGTCCTTGATACCGAAAAGTTGATTGACGGCAAAACGTCTGTTCGTCTGTGAATAACGCTAGCGGCCAAACCGTTGCGCCGATTTTCTCCGAAATTGATATTCCCCAATCCATCTAGCTGATGACGCTCATTCTTGAATTTGAAACCAACATTTTAAATTTGGGGGCTTTACATGAAGCTCCTGGTACATTTTCAAAAAAATGGCACCATCGATTTTGATTAAATTTTGTTATTGGTTAGTCTGAAGAACGCAGGTTTCATGTTGATTAAAAACTGGAATTTTTCGAAAATTGAAAAAATTCAAAATATTTTTTGGTGTTTTTTTTACAATTAAAATATTTAAGATTGAGATTTTTTCCTTAATGAAATCTGTAGAGATAGATTTTGAAATAATATACAATTTTTCGAAAATTTGTGTATTTTTCGCGTAATGTTGCGTGAAATACAGGCAATTTTCAATTTTTGTTCAAACAATTTTTTCGCACAAACGGCTCCCTTGTTTTTGATGAATATTTTTTGGTGGATAGTCTGGAGGACATTTAAGAAAATTGTGCAGGTCTCATGTTGGTTGAAAACCGTAAAGTTTGCGACAATTGAAAAAATTCAAAATATTTTCAATGTCTTCCTAAAACTACAATTGTGAAGATACAATTAAAAAAAAAAAATGAAATGAGTTCATAAAAAATTGCTTTTTAAATAAGGTCTCATTGATATTTTAGAATCTACAAGTATTTTTGAAATAATTAGGCATCAAAGTCAGTTGCCCTCTCTGAAAATACTGCGCTTCTTGATCATAATTTTAGGGGTTTTGAGGTAGATGGATGCCTAAGTTAAATGTGTATAGTATTTCATATTATTTTGTTTGTTCCTTACATTGGAGCCTTTGTTATACATTTACAAATGAATATTTTAGAAAAGTCTGTTTGAAATAAATGTGAATTAAAGATTGCTAGCCTTCTGTCGCCAGCTCCCAATTTATGCAGTTGGATGCTGCAAAAGTTATAATTTATTATTATTTTGCATTTCATTTTATTATTATTTATTATATATTTATTTTTTTCATTGCAAATTATGTCCTTTAATTGTGTTAAGTGTGAAAACAAATAATGAGCAGTCGTTGTTGGTTGTTGTTACCCATTGTTGTAACACCACACAGATTCTGATGGCTGCTTTTTATTTGCAGAAATAAAAACAAATACTATTATATATTTTTTGATGTATTTGATTTCTAATGCTATCAGTATCTTATTATGAATTAACTTTTAAATATTTTATTTATTGCACTCTGCCTATTTCGATTTCTAATGAGTTTTAAAAAAATATTGGGAGAAATTGGGGTATAAATAGTATTACCATTACTAATGGCAAGAAAGAATGTGCTGTTTTAGTTCCACTAGTTGTAAATTAATCACATATGTATGATCTAGAGAATGAATTAGAATGGTAGAGGCACTGTGAAAACTTAAGAAATAGAAATTGATTATTTCAGAAAAAATGATTGCTTAAAAGAATATTCTGGACATTTCAGTTCTTTTAACTAAAACTTATAGTGACACATTAACTATTCTAGCCCATTGTCTAGAACAATTCATTGGTTGAAAGTTACACAAAAAATTATATCATTATCACTTATGGTTTATGATGTTTGACATATATGAATGTGTTGAAAATTCCTAATACAGGAAAAGTTCATCTGAAGTTTACTGAAGGCTTAACAGTTGACAATAGGGAAAGGCTCTTGTACACATGCTTCAAAACAATTATTTGCTTAAAAACTGAGAAATGTAGAAAGAAATGGTTCTAAGCATTTAAAAGAGAATGAACCAGAGCACACAACTCAATAAAAACTCAGAGATGTCCTGATTTTTCATTATTTTGAGGTAGTCGGATACCTTAATAATATAAAAGGGAGTAATAGTTTGTTATTCAGTACTCAGTTTATTCAATTTAATTTATTTTTAAATTTATTCATTAAAGGCACTTCTTAATAGTTAATAGTAAACTGAGTTTTTAAATAATCGTATAAGTGCTCTTTGTGGAGGTAAAGGAAACTTTTTAACCAGACATAACCTAAACATTTTTACATGAAAAGTCTTTTAATTTAGTCATTAATGGGGAAGGTAAAACTCCTAATAATGCTTATATCCTTGCTACCATACTGCTTGCACAGTTAATTTTGGCATTTTATTGTGGAAGAAAGAAGCCATTACTGCATTACTGCTTGTGTGAAGTAGATAGTGAATATAGATATTGATTGATAGATTTTAAATATCTTATTGTCTAATTTTTTTCACATCGTATTTATATTTTTTCGCAACCACAAGGTGTCTTTATCTTCAGGCATCTGCAATCATTATGATATTTTATAACATTAGCACATTTTTTTTATATTCTAATTATAGTATGAAATTATATTATCTAACCAATAAGTAAATCTTAATATGAATGTCATATTGCTCTTACATAGCTATACATATTATAATATATATTTTATTGTATATCATTGTGTGTACATATAAGCAATTAGAAGCTTACCTTTCTCTTTATATGATGTATTCTTTCCTTATTACATCCTTTATAGAACAATCAATTTATCAAAGGTGTCATATGTTTGGTGATGAGGCTGTGGCCTACGGCTAATACAATTAACACTAAACACCCTTGAGTTTACCAAATGCATTTTGTGCCTAAGTACTTATTTGCCCAACACTTTTAACGAAACCCATCAAACTCTGTTAGAGATACTAGAGGGTCAAAATATTTTATTTTGACAGCAGTCTTGTATGTTTTCATATTCAATTTGACTATGATGTAGAAACCATAATTTGTGTGTGAGTATTTTTCATACATTGTGCATTTTATGATTGTTTCAGTTCCTACCTAAGTCAAGTGACAGTGTAATTGTTACGGGTGCAGGAGACTGTAGAATAAGAGTGCATGATATTCTGTTGGGAGAATCGACTCAGGTGTGCAGCTGCCACACAGGCAGAGTTAAAAGACTTGCCACTGCACCTAACGTCCCGTACGTCTTTTGGAGTGCTGCAGAAGATGGATTAATAATGTAAGTGTTTGATTTGATTTATTTATTTTTGTCAAGAAACAGAAACTATATGTGATGTTCGAGAAGTCCAATTTGCTTGAATTGTTTTCAGGTTTAGAATGCTTGCCCTACCCTTTTTACTATACACGGTTGATGGTGAATAAAAGTAACTAAAAGGCGAGGTTGACAACATTTAGAAATTATCGTGCCAAAGTGTAGAAAAACTAATTTGCAATGATACACTAACTACAGATTTGATTTTAGAGTATTGCTAGGAAAATTGCTACCCATGCCACCTGTTCTACTCTTACCACAACTAGCAAAACTAGAGCTCAACGATACTTGTGCTTAGTGAAGCTACATTTATATCTAGAAGTCAAACATTGCAGGATTGGCTCAATAGATTGGAAAAACCGGACAAAATCCTGATCAAGATGGGCTATAAATTATTTTGTACTACAGTCATTTTCAGTGTTAATTACTGTTGAAGTCTATTTTTACTTTCATGCGTATACTGTCGTACAACCATCCCTACTTCCCACCCTACAGTGTCTCAGATATTCTTTTAATACACACAGCTTTTCCGGGCTTATGCTGTGGAGTAGGTGACAATTTTGACTTGTCAAAAAGGATCATTGGACCCATTGCAAGAAAGGATAATTTCAAAAAATCTAAATTTAACCCACTAACGCCAAAAATAATTTTGTGCACATATTGCTCACCCATTGTCGATGCGTCCATGCGTGCACAGCTGGGTTTCATTGGTAGCATGTTTTGGGAACTTTAGTGTTAAATCATTGTTAGGTTGTGTAATAATACAAGAGCACTCCAAAGTGCCAACCGCTAGTTTATGAGCAAACATTCTTACTCTCACTGCATAAGAAGAGAAAATATTGTAAACAGGGAATTTTAGTCAGAAAAGCCTCTTGACGGGCCCTGGTAACGAATAATAATAAAAATTTTGTTCCCATATAGGGTTAATTACTATCTTGAACACCTTGTGTAATCATATTCCATGTTTAGGGGGTCCTTGATACTGAAAAATTGATTGGCGGCAAAACTTCTACCTGTGCGTCCAACCATCTCTCGTTAAATAAATAAACAAACTAAAACCAATGGTGCCGTAGAATGGTACAAATTTTGTTACCCTCATTAATTTTCTTTTCTCTCTACTCTTGACCAGCTTTTTCGTTAGGTATCTTGGTCTTCTCGCCTGTTTTCTTTCATCATTCGGAAAACAAAATTTGTTCTCATTTTTTTATATTACTAGCCTTTGTAATGCTTAAACTGAAACCACCATACAGTTGTTACTATTATAGAAATATTCATTGCACGTTGTAACTGAAAATCTGAGGTCGTTAATTGGCAGGTAAGGCCTCAGCTCTTCTGGGGCAGGTACATTGACTTGTCTTGGCCGGCAACTAATATTTGTGACAAATTGTGTTGCCGTGGGAAATAATTGATAATTCCAGAAACTTTATTGAAAACCATTTGAGCAATTCTAAACAAATACGTAAAGCTGTTAATCTATAAAAGCGTAAATACTATTAATCAAGATAAATAAACTGGAAGTGTATGTATGTGATTTTCGAATTTTTAACTTTTTAAACAATTTTTCACATTACAGGAACATTGTGAGAAAGTATGCTTTGGCAGAACTAGTTTTTTATTAAAAGTTTTTTCCTAAAATAGTATATAAGACGTTGGCTTGCAGTGTTTGTTTCGTTGTAGTGCTGGTATAGTCGTAACATGGACAATGTATGATTAATGAGCGTGGATATTTAACAATATGTACACCACACCCCACTCCCCACCCCACATGCCCTACTACAGTTGCCCTACCCCACCCCACCCCACCCCACCCCACCCAAAGGCTCGATTAGGCAGATACTCAATTATCGTATTTTATTATCGCCTAATCGTATATTATGCCACAGTGTTGCTCACAGGTCGTCATATGCACACCACACAACACACACGCCACACTCCGCACACACACAAACCATAACCCAATATACCATAAATACACACACATAACCATAATCCCACACCACGCATGTATTCCACACACACCACACACGTATACCAGACATTCCACACACGTATA